GAGGAAAAGAGGGAAAGAGAGAGAGGAAGGGAGGAAAGGAGGAAGGAAGGAAGGAAGGAAGGAAGGAAGGAAGGAAGGAAGGAAGGAAGGAAGGAAGGAAGGAAACAAGGAATGAATTCAGATTATTGGGCCCTTCCTCAAGCCCGCTGAATTAGAAGTTCTGGGGATATTTTGATAACAAGGTTATGTTTTCAAATATGTCTTGCCACAGTCACAAATAAGACTAGTTTTCCCAACTGAACTACGCAAACCTTAGCAGGCTCGTGGGGAAACCACTGGAAATCATTTAATCAGCTCTTTCAAACATATTGCCCATAAGTTGCAGAAACGCAGCTGCCTCTCAGGATTAGAAAGTGGAGCAGCAACCGGAGGTGTCTCCGGGCCGCCCCCCGCCCCACCTTTCCTACCCCCGCCTCACCCACTCGACCCCCACACTGTCGTCACCACAGTCCCTCCATTCCAGAGGGACTTCCAGAGTGGAATACGGATTCCGATTTTAAAATAAGCGCTTCTAAATCTTTCTCCTTCCCTCTAAGACGAATGAGGGAAAGAAAGGGAGAGGAGTTGAGGTCCCAAGGTTCAGGGATGCCTGGTGATCTCCACGTCCCAGGCTGGGCTGCCTCAGTGCACGGAGAGGGCGAGGGGTGCATTGTGGAGCCTTGGCAAGCGCTCTTTCTCGATCCTCGGTTTGCGGTCTGTGAAATGGGGTTCGCAGTGCCTTTGCGGGGACGCCGCGAACTCAAGCACCAGCAAGCCGATTCGAACTCAAAGGGCTTCAGGGTGTAGACGACCACCGCGCACTGAGGGACTACGGGTCGGCCCGCTCCGGAGCCAGGAGAGTAACTGCGCGCAGGGAAAGGCGCACTGCAGCCTTGGTGCCTCCCTTCCCTCCATCGGACGGGTGAGTGACGACGGGCGAGGTCCTCATCTCCAGGCTGCGCAGCTGAGTTCTGGCAGGTAGGGTCCTAGGGGTGTGAGTGTGTGGGCCCTCCGGAAAGGTGGGAGGGGCGAATGCCGTGGTCTACCCGAGCTCGCAGGGGTGCGGTGGGCAAGTTCCCCAGGACCCTCGCTGGCGCCGCTTGTCTGCAGCTGGGAACAGTGGGCGCCGCGGGTGGCGGTAAGTTGGCCAGGGAAGGAAACACATCGCTTTCCCAAACCGGATTCCTCTGAGCAAAGCCAGATGGTGTCATCCCCATTTTACAGCTGCGTAAAGAAAGACCCAGAACACCAACAGCCAGCTGTGGCCGGAGCCCTTTCACTGACCCGGAACACTAGCTCTCAGAAACCTGGAGAACTGCGAGGGCTTTTAATGCGGCTGAGAAGAAAGTAAAGACCCGGACTCCTCTCTCCTTCGAAAGAGCCCACACAAGTATGAAGACCAGCGCCTCGGACGCTCCGGGGTAGGGGGGCCCACGCCCCATCCCTCTCAGAATCGCGCCTTACTGACGCTCAGTCCCGCCCAGTGTCCACCCCCCACCCCCGCCCCAGTTTCCTTTCTGGACCCTCCGGTCCCCAAAGCGAACTAAGCTAGCGGCAGCTTCTCCATCCCGGGGAAGACTCCAAACTCCTAGGTTTCCCACCTTGGAGAGCACTGCTCTGGAATGCGCGGGGGGGCGGCAGCTGGAAAGGGTTGGAAGGAAGCTTCTCGGACCCAGAGGGGGACAGACACCGGGCCCAGCCAGGGAGGGGTTAAATCCGCCCCACTGGACCACCTCCCCCTCTCCCCCAGGAGCCACTTCAACCGGTTGTCGTCCCAGTGGCCACCCTCTGAGCACGTGTTGCTGCCAGTCTGCGTCAGCGCTGGGTAAATACATGACTGGGCGACGCCACCGGGAGGGGCTATTTAAGAGGCAGCCGCCCTCTGGTCCTCCCTGAACTTGGCTCAGCTGCCGGGCTGCTCCGGTTGGAAACGCGAAGCCAGCTGCGTTCTAATCCAAAAGGTAGGTCCCTCGGTTCGTCAGCGGGGGATCCAAGTGTCGTGTGTCTTTGAAGAATGCTGTCGTCAGCTTTGTGCCCATTTCCATTTTGCTTTTCTATTTTCTGTGTCTTTCCTCCGAGAGCTCGAAAGACATTTCTTGAAGTCAGAAACAACGGCTCCGGGTCTAAAAGTGAGGTCTGGGTAGGTAGAGCTGCTTTAGAGCCTTTCACGCGCCGGCATACCCATCCGCTATGATTCGCATGCAGATTGAGATTTGCTAGCTGTTACACAGCGGTGCTGGGGACTTTGCAATCTTTTCTAATAAAATACCAGAGGGTTTTAAGATTCAAATTCATTTTCTAAATACTGCAGAAAATTTTGAGGCTTTACGGATAGAAATGTGAGGGTGTTTTATCCACTAGCGATCTAAAATGCACGGGGCTTTGGAAGCCTGAGTGCTGGGCACATATTTCTGATTTTAAAACCTGCCTATGTTTTGCGTAGTGGCTTATTGCCATTTCCCACCTACACTTTGAGAACACTTTATAAATACGGCTTTATTTATTGCTCCTACATTTTAAACTGTGCTTCTCTTTTTCGTCATTTACTGTATTTCCATATTGAAAGCTTGTTAGCTATCTGGAAAGGTGCTTTCCCCGGGGTTCTCATTTCTCCCACGGAGTCTTCCCTTTAGGATATTTTTTTCACACTATTTTTAATCTCGTGGGGTTTTATTTTTCTTCTTTCAGTTAGAAGAGAGGCACTCTGCAAACACTTCCTCAAACTTTAGGGAAGCAGAAAACATTCCTTCTGCTCAACACGGCAGAAAACAGGGTCTCTGTCTGCCCCTCGGCACTGGGTGTGGAGTTCCCAAAGACCAGCCGTGTGCGCCCGGGCATGGCACTCAGCTTGAGCCCTCGTGCTTGTGGCGGCCTGGGGAGTCTGGAGCACCTGTGTTTGTCCTAAGCCGGTTTCTGGGTGCCCTGCCCGCCGCAGGAGCTCTCGGATGCCCAGCCTTTCCGTTAACGCCCCCTCCTCCTTTGCTCCCTACAGCCATGAACAGCGGCGTGCGCCTGTGCGTACTGATGGCGGTACTGGCGGCTGGCGCCCTGACGCAGCCGGTGCCTCCCGCAGAGCCCGCGGGCTCCGGGCTGCAGCGGGCAGAGGAGGCGCCCCGTAGGCAGCTGAGGGCAGTGCAGAGAACGGACGGGGAGTCCCGAGCGCACCTGGGCGCGCTGCTGGCAAGATACATCCAGCAGGCCAGGAAAGGTAAGAATGCTGCCTCCCCATCCCTCACTTCTGCCCTTGTTCCCAGGCTCTGGATGCTGACCCTCTTCTCTAGCGCCGGCCTGATGAAGATGACCTCTCTTGGTAGGAAACAAGCAACATGGTTTCTGGCCGTCCTTTGTAGCAATCTGAGAAGGGGTATGGAGGACTTAATTTATAAGTAAGGGGAACCTTCTTGAAAAGCTTTCTTTGAACTCATTTTTAGCAATGTTGCTGATTAAGTTCAACACCATTTTACCAAGCCATTAAAAGATAATTATTGAACCCTAGGAAAGGGTTCCTAGATACACTAAATACCCTCTACTAAAAACGCAAAGAACCTGGGAGCCACCCAGATACCAACCCTTGGAAATCCTCTAGCAGGAAGGCGTCAATGCTGAGAATGCCTGAGATCTGGCTACAACAGTTTAAAAAGGCAGTGACAATGTGTCCATCTCCACCAAACCATGTAACAGAAGGAAAGAATCAGCAGCAGTTTTGTGTTCTCCTTGCAATGACTTACACATGATTACCCAACAAGAGAGGTATTTGTTTTTACTTTACTGTCGCAGAGATGGTCACAGTTATAGCAAGAGCTGAGCAAGTCATTTTTCTCAGCATCAAAGTCTTTCTCCAGGAATAAGGTGATTCAGCCCCTCACTAGCTGAGTGGCATGCAGGCAGTCCTGACCTGAGGCTAGCTTTCCCCTAAGCTCCTTCCAATTCTTTGTGTGATTCAGAGGGAGGCCCATTCATCTCTTGTGACCCATAGGAATCATGCTTTGGATTGCGGCAGCTTTTTTCTGCCAACTTTATCCCCAGTGGCACTAATAATGAACACTGGCTGTGGAGGAGTGTGCTGAACAGTACAAACACAGCTGGACATTAAAATAATTCAGCAGGCCAGGAGCAGTGGCTCACGCTTGTAATCCCAGCACTTTGGGAGGCCGAGGCAGGTGGATCACATGAGGTCAGGAGTTCGAGACCAGCCTGATCAACATGATGAAACCCCATCTCTACTAAAAATACAAAATTAGCTGGTTATGATGGCACATGTTTGCAATCCCAGCTACATGGGAGGCTGAGGCGGGAGAGTAGCTTGAACCTGGGAGGTGGAGGTTGCAGTGAGCCGAGATTGCACCATTGCACTCTTACCCAACAGGTGTTCCAGGGCCTGGATTTGAACCTTAACCCCTGGCTTGACAAGAAAGGGATAAGATGAAGAGCTTTGGCTCTGCAGAGTTCTCCTGTGGGCTCACATGAAGGGAAGACTGGAACTCTTTGACCCAGAGGCTTCAGAAGGAAAGAACAAATCAGTGATTTGTTGTATTTCTTCCTGTCTTTGGGAAATTGCCCCACCCACTACCTTCTGTTTTGCTTTCCTACTAATTAAATTGAAGAAGATAGAAATACTTATCAGATGGAGAGAGAAAGTCTGAAAGCTTTTGAGTTCCTGCTGATTTTCTGCCTGAAAATAATTTAGTGTCTGTCCCCAGATACAGGCTGAATTTCAGCCAGACAAGTCTGAAATATCCTAGGCTTTTCATTGATCTGTGGATCTGGAACTCCCCTCCCCCAATTTGGGAAAGACCCTGTTTTTCTTCTATGTAGGCTGAGGATATCTGCAAAAAGGCCTGAAATGTGCTGAATTGACTCTTGGTTCCAAAATTGTTCTAGGAAAAAAAAAAAAAACCCAACTCATTACCACATTATTTCCTAGAACCAATACTAGACAATGGCTCTTAAAGCATAAATCTTAGCTGGAAAGTTCTTTCTAGTCCTTCTTCTCAGCCCCCCTCTCCCTTTGCCTTCAGCCAATTGTGCCAAACAAACCCAGGAGAAAATAGCAATCACTTGGAAATTTAGATGCCAACACCTAGGATCAACGCTAGCTAAAAAACAACCAAACTCTTCTATGTGACAAACATGAACTAGGAATAAATACTTACACTATAGAAACTGCACAGTTTCTTTGAATATTTTACATATTTTGAAATCATATCAGATTTTTGCTCCACTATAGTATATATTATGCTTAAATGTTCTTTTTTTTTTTTTTTTTTTTTTTCTTGAGACGGAGTCTCGCTCTGTAGCCCAGGCTGGAGTGCAGTGGCCGGATCTCAGCTCACTGCAAGCTCCGCCTCCCGGGTTTACTCCACTCTCCTGCCTCAGCCTCCCGAGTAGCTGGGACTACAGGCGCCCGCCACCTCGCCCGGCTAGTTTTTTATGTATTTTTAGTAGAGACGGGGTTTCACCGTGTTCGCCAGGATGGTCTCGATCTCCTGACCTTGTGATCCGCCCGTCTCGGCCTCCCAAAGTGCTGGGATTACAGGCTTGAGCCACCGCGCCCGGCCTGCTTAAATGTTCTAAACAAGACAATGCATTCTTTGAGCAGTGCTTAAGAGTTTATCATTAGGAAATATCTGCAGCACTTTCAATGGCCCAAGAAGAAACAATTCTATTGGAGGGCAGTGGGTAAAGATACCTACAGGCATTTAGTGTATACCTTCCCCATGGCCAGCAAAGCTTCAATGCTACATCTATATTGTCTCTCTCAGTACAACAGCCCTGCACAGTAAGTATTATTATACCCATTTTGCCAGCGTGGAAGCTGGGGCTCTAGAAGCCTGAGTAACCTACATGTTGTTCCGTATCTACGCAACAGTAGGGCTGAGACTCTATCTAGTCCTGCTCCTCCCAGGAGGGCCTGGAAGCCATTCAGCTTCCTAGCTGTACTGCCTAATCCACATTTTAAAGTTTAAAAGAGCTAAACCCTTCAGTTGTAGCAAGAGCTCAGAATGTCACTGTTTTTTTCAGCACCAAAGCCTTTCTGCACAAATAAGGTGATTCAGCAGCTCACTAGCTGAGTAACATGCAGACAATCCTGTCTTGAGGCTCGCTTTCCCCTGAGCCCCTTCAAATTCTTTGTGTGATTCAGAGGGAGACCCGTCCATCTCTTGTGGCCCGTAGGAATTAGGCTTTGATCAATTCCATACATCAGATGTAAGCCTCTACTCTATGTCAGCACTGGGAGAGTGAGTGAGGGCCCTGGTAAATACACATGACATTAGGACAGAACTGTACATGGAACAGGGAAGTCAGGGTGTGTGATAAATGCAGCTTCCACGACTGAACATGGTGCCCCCACCGTTAACTGAGGCTGCTTGCTCGTATTGAAGCTGTCACTTCGCTTCCATTAGATGGAAATTTGGGTGTGCCCAGGCCTTAGTGGGCACTCATCATCACAGCAGGCAGGAGGATGGGTCATGTTTCCACGTGACTGTGTACAGGTAACTGGGTCTATAGGTTTTCCTGAATTCAAAGACTAATATTTCACCTGAACAATGAACAATTAAATAGCAGGGGCTATTTTTCTTCTACATAGGCTGAAGATATCTGCAAAAAGGCTTGAAATGTGCTGAATTGACTCTTGGTTCCAAAACAGGGAAGGGTTGTGGTTGGGGAGAGAAAGGGCGGGGACGTTGTTCTGTGTTGTTTCTGTTTTTAATTAAACTTGCTTAATTTTATTACCCTGGGTAACTGCCTTTGCATTTTCATTTATCAATAAATAAGCCATAGTCTGACTCTACGCAGCCTATGGGCAGGAGCTGGCAAGGGCAGCCTCATGTAGAAGGGATATAGACCAGCCTCACAGGAGGTGGGGACACAGTGGCCCCCAACACAGTGGGAACCATTGAGTGGTCCCCCACTCCTCTACCCTTGAATTGGTCTGGGCTTTGTTCACTGAGGTCCCTGAAGAGCCTTTCTTAAGACTGAGCTTGCACAGGAGAAGGTGTCCTACTGATTTCGTACTCCAGGAGGCTACTGTCTATGAACTTTGAGCTAGGACTATGTCCCATGCCTCCAAATAAACTGCCTCTTCATGTCCCTACTCACTCAGTGTGAGCTCTACAAAAGGATCACACTGTTCCTGAAGACTTAACTTCCATCCCAATGGGACCATTTCAGGTTCAGTTACTGCATTTTGGTCAAAATGGCTGATTTAAATCACCTTTGTTATCACCTCTCTCCCGCCCTTCTTTGAGTATTACTGAGGTGCCAAGATTTTAATCTGACAGTCTTTTTCTGAATATCATTTTTAATTGATATTGATTTATCATTGAAAATAAAATGATCATCAATTCAAAACACTTACTGATAAATGAAAAACACTTTCTGAATGTAACTTTCAAATTCATATTTTTAAAAGAGTATTTATATAGCAAAGGGGCTTTATTTATTTTTTTCTTTATTATACTTTAAGTTCTGGGATACATGTGCAGAACATGCAGGTTTGTTACATAAGTATTCCTGTGCCATGGTGGTTTGCTGCACCCATCAACCTGTCATCTACATTAGGTATTTCTCCTAATGCTATCCCTCCCCTAACCCCCTGCCCCCCAGTAGGGCCTGGTGTGTGATGTTCCCCTCCCTGCGTCCATGTATTCTCATTGTTCAACTTCCACTTATGAGTGAGAACATGTGGTGTTTGGTTTTCTGTTCCTGTGTTAGTTTGCTGAGAATGATGGTTTCCAACTTCATCCACATCACTGCAAAGGACATGAATGCATCCTTTTTATGGCTGCATAGTACTCCGTGGTATAAATTGCCACATTTTCTTTATCCAGTCTATCATTGATGGGCATTTGGATTGGTTCCAAGTCTTTGCTATTGTGAATAGTGCTGCAGTAAACATATGTGTGCATGTGTCTTTATAGCAGAATGGTTTATAATCCTTTGGGTATATACCCAGTAATGGGATGGCTGGGTCAAATGGTATTTCTGGTTCTATATCCTTGAGGAATTGCCACACTGTCTTCCACAATGGTTGAACTAACTTACACTCCCACCAATGATTTTATTTTTTTAACCATTCCAACATCAAGATATTATAATTGTGCTACCTTAATAACAAGAGCTCTCCAGGAGTCAGGAATGTTGATGGATATGAAGGGATGAATTTAGGAATAAATAAGTACTGGAAAAATCTTTGGTTGGTTTCTGCTGAGGCCATCTACAAAAGGAAAACACCCACCTACCAAAAGAAAGCAAAAGGTAGGGAGACTAAGGAAAATCTAGGCAAGTCCCCAGCCTGCAAGGCTGGAGAAAATGAATCCACCTAAATACTTGCAGAACGCAAAGCACACCCCTAACTTGTAAATATTGTCCTCTCTCCAGTTACACAGACATTGGTCCTTCTCCTCTCTTAGATTTTGGTCCATCAATTCCACTATTTTGACAGCTCTTTGATACCTTTAAGGTGGTGTCTATTATATTGTGTCTGGCTTTTTCCATTGCTATCCTCCGCAAATTGAACTAGAGATGCTTTTAGATGTAATGTCCCTGTTTCCTTCCTCCCTGTCCTTTGTAGCTCCTTCTGGACGAATGTCCATCATTAAGAACCTGCAGAACCTGGACCCCAGCCACAGGATAAGTGACCGGGACTACATGGGCTGGATGGATTTTGGCCGTCGCAGTGCCGAGGAGTATGAGTACCCCTCCTAGAGGACCCAGCTTCCATCGGCCCAACGAGAAGCAACCTCCCAACCCAGAGGAGGCAGAATAAGAAAACAATCACACCATATCTCATTGTCTGTGGAGTTTGACATTGTATGTATCTATTTATTAAGTTCTCAATGTGAAAAATGTGTCTGTAAAAATTGTCCAGTGCAACCACACACCTCACCAGAATTGTACAAATGGAAGACAAAATGTTTTCTTCATCTGTGACTCCTGGTCTGAAAATGTTGTTACGCGATTAAAGTGATTTCATTCTGCCCTGTCATTCCCTGTGTCTACTGAGGGCAAAGGGCTCCATTTCGTCCTTAGAATATGCAAGGAGAGAAGCCTGATAGATGCTATACCAGGACAAATCCTTGTAGTAGATGTCCCTAGAAAGGGCTTGGGAAATGCAGCTCAGGCCTGGAGCTAACTTTGCTCCAGGCCAGCTGGACAGTGAAAGGGTTATCTGTGGGCAACTCCAGAGCCCAGCCCTGGCCACCCTGATCCCCCATCTTATTTGCCAATCCTACTCCCACCAGGGTTTCCTTGGGGTTCTCTTGGCCTTTCAACAAGTTACAAGCAGTAACTGGCCATGGTTTTGCGTACATTTGATCACTCCATGGCTCTGTGGCACAGAGGTTATCATCCTTTCTTTACAGATGAGGAAACAGGCTCTGAAGAGTGAAAGTGATGGCCCTTATGCCCCAGCTAAGGAGATTCACAGACTGGAAGTCTTAATGTTCTGAGGCTATCGGGACCTTCATCACTCTAGCATTTCTCCAACTGAGTGCACAAGAATCACCTGGGGAATCTTGTTAAACTGCATGTTCTGATTCAGCACATCTGGGCGGAAGCCTGAGCAAGTTCCCAGGTGATGTCAATGCTGCTGTTTGCAGACCGCACTTGGAGCTGCAATGGTGCAGAGAAGAGCCTATAATTGCTTTTCCTTGAGCCCCACCATGTTTTGGAGTTGGTGGGACTCCAAAGTGCTGGGGAGACTCTGGTAGTTATACAGAGCAGAAGCCAATCTGTCTGTTGGCTCTCTAGAAATCAGTGAGGGGAACTAGTCCAAGGCGACACCCAGAGATGATCCAGTACCCACCACCCACAGTGCAACCTTTCCATGCCTCCTGCTGAGGCCTCCAAGACCCTCCAATCCTTGTCCAGCAGAGGCCCCAGGTGTCCAGTGCAACAGAACCTGGCAGCCCCCAAGAGCAATATGTTGAAAACAAGACTGGCAAATCTAAAACCTTACCCAGACCGGCACCACTCACTACTGGCACTCAGTGCCACCTTCCTTAGTGTTGGGGACAGGACACTGGGAGGGAGCCCCAGGAAGACTTGGTCAGTACAATTCTTTCACTTGAGCTGAAGTTGGGATTCAGTGTAAAACTTACTCCAAATAGGGGACACTATATTAGTCCCTTCCAAGGTACCACCTCATTCAGTCCCTAAAATTAGTCTCCAAGACAGCCTCATATCTTAGGTATCCAACCCCCATTCAGTCTAAAATATCCAGATGCCTGTGTATTTAGTGCCCCCTCCCCTTGCAAAAATCACTAGCTTTATGGGTGTGTAGGGGTTATGTGCCCATGTGTGTGTGCGTGTGTGTGTATGTGTGTGTGTGTGTGTGTGTATGTGTGTGTGTGTGTGTGTACTGTTTGTGTATTGGGGATGGAGGATGAATGAAGGACTTGGAATTTAATATAGAATCAACAGTGGGGAATGGATGGTGAAAGTCTGATCTAAATTACTGATTTATGAATCATCAAGGAAGTGGGTGTTAAAATACCATTTTCAAAGGTAAAGTCATGACTCATACAACACAAAATGAACATATGTCAAAGATATCATTTAACTCATCAATTAATAAAGGAACCAGTAAGGTGTCACAATCATTTCAAAGCAGAATCTGAAGGATAGTCAGGTATAGACAGCCGGGAATAATAACAGAGAGAAAACTGGTTCATATCCATAGGTCAAGAAAACATACTGTTTGGAATAATCCACAACAGAAGTTACTTGTATCATTAGAGGACAATATTCACTTATGTTTCTTTATGTTTTGTTTTGTTTTTTTGAGACAGGGTCTCAGCTCTGTTACCCAGGCTAGAGTGCAATAGCACAATCACAGCTCACTGCAGCCTCAACCTCCCAGTCTCAAGCAATCCTCCCACCTCAGCCTCCCGAGTAGCTGACACTACAGGTGTGTGCACCACTCCCAGCTAATTTTTGCACTTTTTAGAGGGATGGGGGTTTTTGTCATGTTGCTCAGGCTGGTCTCAGACTCCTGAGCTCAAGCAATCCACCTGCCTCTGCTTTCCAAAGTGCTGGGATTACAGGCGTGAGTCACCGCATTTATGTTTTGATAGGCAAGAATTGTTTGCATTTGTATCAGTTTTCCAGGGATTATAAGTCACTCAATCAAAGACACAGACCCCAGCAGCATCAGATAAATGCCCAGCATTCCACTGAAAGGACATTCAGTCACCCCCTCTGCCCACTTCCAAGCCTTTCACAACTTTTTCTAATGCAGGAAAGGGAAAGGAAAGAACATTCCTGGCCTCCTCTTGGGTGCTATAGAAAGAGTCTCACAAGCATCAACCTAGGTAACAGTCCCAGTCCTGCAAGGTAATCATGATTCCACTCCTCCAAGAGGAAACAGGAGCTCGGAGAGGTTAAGTGGCTTGGAGGTGCACATGCTGTCCACAAATGGCAGTGCCAGGGTGTAAGCAGCTGGCTCTGGAACTTCTCTATGAAAGGACTTAGGGCCACCGTCTGGCAGAGAAGGGCCTCTGAACCTTGTCTGGAAGCTGCACCTACACAATGAAGGCATGGAATCAGCATATGTGATCATGTGTGGAGTCTTGGAGGGGGTCTGATGGAGCTCCCTGGGCACGGGAGGCAGAGAGCCTAAAGACCTGTTCCCCTAATGCTTTCAGTACCATGCTGGGCTGAGGACAGCACCTTCTGACTGCAGAGGCCCTGCTCTTATCTCTATGCCACCTGTTCTTGCAGGGTCCCTGGACCCAGAACATGCAACTCAGGCCTTCCTAAGTCCTTTCTCAGGGGATCACACCAGGCTCCTGCAACTAAGCTGAGCAACTCTTGCAGAGAAGCCAGCCGCTCCTAAACTCCACTTTAAAGAGACCTGAACTCACACAACCACAAAGCCATGCCCACTGCCCTGACCTCCTCCTCCTCCTCGCCTACCCAGCTGTGTGATCCTGGGTAAGATCATGCCCAACCTTTTCCCCCTCCATCCCTCCTCCCCTCGCTAACCCTTCTTTTCCTGCTCGCTGTCCTGGAATCCTTTGGGCTTGCAGGAACTCCACCCAGGCCATATCCTTCTACAGCTATTCCTGCTGTTTGTGTCCTCAGCTCTGCCAATTAAGGCTGCTCAGAAGCTTCCTTTTTGTTGACCCACTGGAATTTAAAAGCTGAAGAGAGCAATGGCTATCACTCTAGCTCAACCCACACCCTACCCTACCTCAACTCCCATTTTACAAATAATAGACTTGCCCAAGATCACACAATGAATTAGTGATGGAACCTGCAGCTCTCTCTGGAATTAACTCCGTGCCAGCCTGAGACATAAAGAATTGCCTGGTAGTCCCTGCATTTGCTGATACCTCTGGACCTTTGGCTTGGGATATCTGACCTGCCCTCAACTGCAATTACTAATATCTCCATATGGCCAGCAGCCAGAGGGTGGACAGGATTCACTCTCCCAAGATTTGCTTCACCAAAACCAAGCTGTAAGACATCTGACCTACAAATTAGGGAATCTACTTAATTTGTCAGCAACTTACTGAACCCAAATGACAATCTTTGCTCTCAGGCTTAGCCAAACCCAGGTATAAGGAAAGGAAAATGGAAGAAAGACAGTATATGTTCATTCTTTCTTTTAACATATAACCAAAAAAAACTCACCCCCAACTCTTTTTGTTGACTCTGCTTTGAAGAGCCAAAGGAAAGAATCCTGATCACTTTGCTAGATTTCCAGGACTGTGAATACTTTTTTCCAGCATCTTCAAATTATGGCTAGTCCTGAAGATAAATAAAGCAGAAGTCAAGCAGAAAGAGAGAAAATCGTTGCCTCACTAATTTCCCCTGGGTTCTAGGTTCTGAAAACATCTCTCACCAGATATTAAAATGATCTGTTTGTGTCTGTCTCCTGCTCTAATCTATATCTTCCCACAGAATCAGGATCAGGGGATCCCAGATGAGACAGCACCTGCCCTGGACTCCCCACCATCCCCAAGGCCCACACTGGACAGACCTCCCCCAGACAGCCTCATCATCACCCCCACCTCTCTGACTTCATCTCATCACCGCCCTCTTCACTCATTTCACTCCAGCCTCACTGCATTCTTTGCTATTCCTTGAAAACACTAAACTCACTCCTGACTCACAGCCTTTGCACCGCTGTTCCTTCTGCCCGGCTCACTCTCACTTCCAAAAGCATGGCTGGACCTCTCAGCTCATTCAACCCCAAAATTACCTGCTCATAGAGGCTGTCCTGACCACCCTCTCTAAAAAGGTTCCTCTGAACTGGGCACAATGGCCCATGCCTATAGTCCCAGCTATTCGGGAGACTGAGGTGGGAGGATCACCTGAGCTGAGAAGTTGAAGTCCAGCCTGGGCAACATAACGAGACATTATTTCTAAAAAAAAAAAAATTATTTTAAGAAAAAAAAAGTCCTCCATTACCCTCTCTCCCCTTCCCTGCTTTACTTTTCTTCACATGTTTATCATCTCTTGGAATTACATTGTATATGTATTTATTCATTGATTCTGTCTCACCAATGAATGCAGAATACCAAAGTTCTGTCAACTCTATTAGGGCAGGGATTTTTGTCTGCTGTGTTTATTGCTATATTCCTGACTCCTAATACAGGGTTAGCACATAGCAGATACTCAGCAACTATTCACTTAATTAATTAGTTCATTAATTAATCAATTAGGGAAAAATCTGTCAGGGTCCCTGCTACTCAGGTCACAGATTGGTTTTAGAAGCAGTTTCATCAGACCATTTGTTTTAAAAATCAGAGAAGTAAAGCTGCCTCACTGACACGGCCAAGTCCCCCCAAGATAGGCATAAATTGGAAAACAGAGCACTCACACAAAAAGGTGGCTGGCAGTGTGCACAGCATCCGTGGAGAGTGGTGGTATGCGCTAAAGTACACCCACACCAAACACACGCGCACACTCACACGCATGCACATCTAGCCCTATTTCTTTTGCTGCAGTTAAAATCCAGAATGGCAGCCGGC